ACAAGTGATGACACATGGATGAGCCAGGAACTCTTATGTGTTCCAGAGCAAGATGTCTTTACTAACTAAAATATAAATAGATTGTTTTTCAGTGAATGCAACCTTTCTCTTCCCATTACATCAGAGTGCTTTTCTCCTTGGACTGCAATCCTGAAAGTTCACAAAATAAGATTGATGTGTCTTAATTTAAAATGCAGCAGCAGACCTTACCATTTTTACCTCTACAAGTATTTCTTTCTTATTATTGAAGCTCTGTACAAAACATAACTAATATTACAGTTATTGAACACTGTTTCTGTCTCTCTGGGTTTCTTATTACAGTGGTAATCCAGGAACATTTCCTTCAATATGAGCATACAATTGGTTGCCAAAACAGCTGCAAGTGGACAAGTGATTCTTTTATAATATTAGCATTAAGCATCAGTAATTAATGAGTTTCAGCTCGATGACATTTTACACTGCATTGCACAGTAATTTAAATGGCTCACCAAAGCCCAATCTAGTCTAAAATGAATTGTGATCTAAGCAAGGAAAATTTAGGTTTTGTTCCATGTTTAAAAAGTTAGAAATTTCACTTACTGCATGCCAAGTAGATCCAGCAGTGAGTTCAGATTTTTCCAACAAAAGTACATCCTTCATGCCAGCCTTGGCCAAATGATAGGCAAGACTGACACCCACACAACCACCTCCAATAATTACGGTTTCTGCTGCATCTTTCCACTTTGCTTCTATAGAAGATGGCTTTTGTTCCCTGGAGAAAAAAATGAACAAATATAATGATGGATACTCCTCATTTCTGCATATTTTACATACAATTACATACTGTAAAACACAATATCAACTGTTCTTTATATATTCTTTTTATCAATAATTAAGTTGTAGGACATTAATAGAATTTTGTTCTACAGATGAAAATTATGAGCACTAACTGGCAGTTTTAGATCAAACATCAGGATCAAAGAACTAAGAATGTCATGGGGAGTTATTTCTTAGTTTATTGTTGTTTACCTACAGACAGAATCTTGCCAGACTAAAGCAATTATCTGCATAACTATAGATAAACTCTGTGAGCTGCTGAAAGGGGAGGGGTTTCCATCTTTGCCCTCTTTCTGTCTACCTGACACTTTTGACAGTATCCTTTTGTGGGGGTTCCAAAATGGGTAGATAGCATCTCAGTAGTGATTCTAGACCAGTAGGGGCGAACCTATGGCATGCGTGCCAGAGGTGGCACTCAGAGCCCTTTCTGTAGGCACATGTGCTGTCACCTCAGCTCCACCTCCCCCCGTGGCCCCCTCCTCACCAGCAGCCCCCCCGGAGAGCCGCTCCTGGACGCGGCCCATACGGAGCAGCACAGCCAAGGACATGGCAGCCGGACAGCAGGGACAAGACTCTGCCCTTGCGCCCCATCACATGCAGATGATGCTGCGGGGTGCAGGCAGAGGACGTGGCTGCCATGGCACTGCAGGGCCACTTGGGTGAACTGCGGCGGGCCGTGGAGGCAGTAGGAGGCCCTGCAGGCAGGTGGGGGGTGGAGCGGGGGCGGACGGGTGGGGGGGTAGGCAGCAGAATGGGGTAGGCAGGGGCGGGGCAGTTTTGGGGCACTGGGTGTCTAAAAGGTTCGCCATCACTGTTCTAGACTATGACTCCCAATCAACTGAACATTCGTGCAACTTGAGAACTTCAACACTAATTCTTTGCATTGTTTAATTGTTTAATGACATTTGTACATCTTTTACTGTGACAACACGGTGTCTAATTATAATATGCCAAAGAAGGTTCCAAGGCATAGTGTAATAATTCTTCTTTAATGGATTTTCTGTAATAACAAAAATAGAAGAACAAGTACAAAAACATGAAAAAGTTACAAATGATGGCCTACATAATATCTCTCCTGTTTTAAAAAAATATTTATTAGGCAAATCATGCACAAGAAGCGAAACCTAATCTGGAGGCATCTCAAAGGGAGATAGGTGGATTCGAAACATAAATTATAGATGAGAACGGAAGGAGAAACATCTCATTTTCACCAACATATACAAATACAGGTAGTCCTCAATTTATAACCACAGTTGAGCCCAAAATTCCTGTTGCTAAGCAAAACAGTTAAGTGAGTTTTGCTCCATTTTACAATCTTTCTTGCCACAATTGTTAAGTGTATCACTGCAGTTGATAAGTTAGTAACCTGGTTGTTAAGTGAATCTGGTTTCCCATTGCTTTTCAGAAAGTCACAACAGGTGATCACATGACCCTGGGACACTGCAACTGTCAGAGGTATGAACCAATTGCCAAGCATCTGAATTATGAACATGTGATCACGGGGATGCTACAATAGTCTTCAATGTGAAAAAACGGTCATAACTCACTTTTTCCAGTACCGTTGTAACTTTGATCACTAAATGAACCCAACAGTCGAGGACAACCTGTAATTATTGATTTATCCAAGAAGCCAATTGCTTTATTCTAAAATGCTGCAGAGTAGTTTACAAACGGACCAATGAATTGTGTTCATTTCTTGTTAAATACACCAGAAATATAGGTTTATGAATTGAATTCCCATAACATTTAACAGTCAGTTAAAGTTTAATGCTCGCATTTGCACAATGTACTAAGCTTAATGTTTTAACTTTGCTTCTTTTTATTATTTACCCTGTTAGGCAACTTAGCTGACTGCTTGGTTAACTTATAATTTAATGTATTGTACAATCCAAGAAAATAGATTACAGTACAGTAATTCCGTAACCAAGTTAAGTTTGCTGTGCAAGCACAGGGATAAAATTCAAGGATATTTCCAGTTATATCACTTATTGTGCAATTATTTTGTCATCTAACTGAATATCTAGTTTTCATCATACTCAACTCATGATCTATATTTTCTGCTTCTCCTTTTTTTTCTACAATAACAAAAATCCACTGAAAAATAAAAGATGAAATAACTGCAGTATGTCTTTGACTGGCAGCATTAGCCATACTTTTTTTTGAAGAATCCAACCATGCATGCATTAGGAATGAAATATACACAGGCCTAAAGATTATGGGATGAGCAATCCTGTCATTAGATCAAGGACAGCTTAGTTCACCATTGTGCTTGGCCACAAAGCCAATCTTGAGTGGCTTCGATCTGTGCACTATTCTATCTCACTTTTTTGTTTTTAAAGATTAAAGAAGAATGCAGTACGGCCCTCCAAAATTTTTGGAAGAAGGGTAGAATAAAACGCAAAGAAATAAATATTGGGCTTGCCGTTATCTAGACTCTGGGCAAAAATAACACATATGCAATCCTCCTTCCTGTGTCTATCAATATTGTAACATTGAAGTTATTTTAATGTGCTGGAATATCTAGGAATGGGGGATTTAAGAGATGTATATCGCCTCACTCTATGGCAGGGGTAGGCAACCTTGGCTCTTTTATGACTCGTGGACTTCAACTCCCAGAATTCCTGAGCCAGTCATGCTGAGGGGAAAGGGAGAGGTTTTCAAGCTGAGCCATGCTGGCTCAGGAATTCTGGGAGTTGAAGGCTCAGGAATTCTGGGAGTTGAAGTCCACGAGTCATAAAAGAGCCAAGGTTGCCTACCCCTGCTCTACGGGCAGACTAGAGGAGCAGGGCGTGGTAGGTATCTGCGCAAACCACGCAGCGCACAACAGTGCCCATGCAGAAGCTATATTTGTGGACTACCCTCGCCCTTCTACTGTCTTAGACGCAAAACATACTCCGCCAACAAAGGGAGAGCTGAAGCCGGGACTCACCACCTGTCAGTGGTCGGGCTGCAAGCAAAACCTCGAGAAGATACGGGAAAGGCGGGCTGTTTAGCTCGCAGTTTTACGGACAGCAACCTCCGCGTTCCCTGCAGCATGGCTTCCCCCCTCGAAGACGCTAGTACAATAATGGATAGCAATGGGCACAAAGATCTCCCGATCTCTCTTCCAAACCAAGCAATTGAGTAAACTTCGAGTTCCCTTAGTTGGCAGCCTAAGCGGAGGGGATAGGCGGAACCACCCGTCGCAGGCGATAGGCGGAATCAGTCTCTTTGGCGACCCTCCTGGGAGGGAGGAGACCGTGCCTGAACTGTCTCGCCCCGCTGCACTCCCGGCGCTCTGTCCAAGTGGTTACAGTGGGAAATCGCGGGGAGGAGGAGGGAAGGCGAGGGGAAATAGGGCTAGACTAGACTGACCGAGGAAGGGCGGGTGGTTCGGGAAGCAGAAATGCAGGCGGGAATGTTGGGAATCGTCTGATATTTACGCTGATAACGGTACTCTACATACGCGACTGGGTTTGTCATTGGGAGCCCGATGCGTAGGTTGCTGGATTAGAAAAAAATCTTTTAACTTGGCTTTCCATGAAAGTTTAGAGAAAAAAGGTTGCAGCCAAAGAAGACTAACTAAATTTTCAGTCTTTTTTTATTAATAGGCGCACTGTTTAAAATTCCCATAATAGCACACGTGAGCTGCTTTATAGGGTACAGAGAAACGTAAGAGCGCTAGCGGTATCTGTATCTCCACCAAAAGGTACACACATGCGCGCGGGTCAGCGGTGGAAATCACAGCACATTACATCACGGTCCCTCGGTGGAAGAAATGCCTTGATACGCCTTTTCCCCATTTGGCATCATCCGAAAGTTTGGAGTATGATTCCCATGGCCCCGTACATCGTCTGGGGACGAGAGGGTGGTAGTCGCGAATGATGGGATCTGTGCTCCATACGTTCCAAAAATCTTAGATTTAGGAAAGTCTGCCCCAAAACGGCCCTTCCATTTTTGCTTATTTCTTACATACACATTCTGGGTATTCTGTGCAAATAAGCGGCTTTTATTCAGTTCTTCGAGACGGGCGCCTCGCAGTCGCGTTGTGGATAATCTTGGCGGCAGGAGATCAGAAGGAGGGTCCAGAAATGGCCGGGTCGGCAACGAACCTTCAGGCTTCTCCCAATCCACCCCCGGCTTCGAATCCGCCCACCTCAGCCTCCAGCCTATAAAATACGAGGTTTGCGGGTTGTGGTGGCCCTGCTTTGTTAGAGGAGAGTTGTGCCCTGGCGGCGGACGAGAAGTGCGGCCAGCGGGAATAGTTCGTCATGGCACCTATTGGAGGAAGCTCTAAAGCAAAGAAGGTAAACAGAACTAGTGGCCGTTCGGGACGCATTTCTCTATTCTCTCTTGCAGGAAAGCAAAAGCAAGGAAAGCGCCCCTTTTGGTTGGCGAGGTTGCCTGTTAATAAACACAAAGTACAGTATTCCTCTTCTGAGAGGCCTGTTGGGAGGCTCTTACAAATTTCTTGGAATTAGAAGAGTAGAAGAGGTGGAGAGGAATGGTTTCGGCTGGTAAGAAGAGGAAAGTACGAACCACGAGTTGAGGCGCATTAATGCCAACTATCTTTTTTCACTTGGCTCTTTTACGGTTGGATCTGTAGCGTAGAACAACCAGGGAACGTAAACCTTGCTGTGATATTCTTGTGATTATTTTTTATATTATTTATTTTGTGATGCACATAACATTTTCTTGTATATATAGAGAAATTAATCTGGGCTGATTTAATTGATGGCAGAAATAGCTGCCCAATTGTATTTCCTTCATTTGGAAAAAGATAGTTATATACACTTTCCATATTTCTAACTTCCACAGACAAATATAGACAGTAGTCCCATTCTGGGACAATCAGGATTCCGGATAAAGCTGGTTCAGTCAAGACTGACAGCTGAGTCACAATTTCCATATACTGAAATACGGATTTGTAAACGCAAAAATTGGAATTTTTGTCCTTTTAGAGAGCTTCACCAGGAGACGTTGACAGCTTTAAAATCCCACTATATATAAATAAAAACTAATATTTTTCTATGATTAATAGAACTTATAAAAAGAAAAGGTATATAAGCTATTATCAGAAATGACTCTGATAATAGGTGATTATTCTTTGTGAAGTGATAAATTTAAATGAAAATTTAAATTTAAACCTAGGATTATTTGCTATAATCAATGCAACTTTTTTAATTAATAGTACAAAAAAACAAATTTTTGTAACAGTATTTGGAATCATTAGTAAAAATTATGTAAGTTGAAAGTTAATAAAACCAGAGGGTTAACAATTAGTATTAATTAAAAGAGATTCTTCATGAGAAATCCTGTTGCTTCACAAGTTTTCCAAGTGATTCTTACTTCCTTCATCAGAATGGTTATATCATCATATATATTAAAATTATTTGGTCACTTTTTGATTAATGTATTTCAATGGTGTTAGGATGAGATCCAATTCATATTGTTTTCATTTGGGAATCAGAGTTCTATAAGTTTGATCTGATCAAGTAATCTTTCGGAGAAGAAGCTAAAAAGTGTGTGTAGGGGGGAAGAAACATTCAAGAACAATTGAGTCTGATAGCAAAAAGCAAGTTTCTGCAGCTATGAAAAGTAACAGGGCAGCTGTCATACGTTATGAATATGATATAGAGCAGGGGTCTGCAACCTGTGGGCCACGGCCCACTACCGGGCCATGGTCTGCTGGCTACAGAACAGGCTGACCAGTGTGTGCACCCCCCACTTGCGCTAGTGCTGCTCCTGCTACAAAAATGGGTGCCACACGGCAAAAACAGAAAGTGGGTGGTACAGAAAAAAATAACTTTGCCTAATAGGATTACTGGAACTCTGGTAAGTGTTAACATCTTGTATTATATTTATAATAAAGATTCTTGGAATGTTCCCAATCGGAATTTGAGGAACCATTCCAGCACAAACATACTACCCTGTTGGCAAAACAGTAATGCGAATCATTATCATTCTAAAGGGAGAAACAGTTTCTTTTATGTGCAGAAAGAGACCAGAATAGATGGCTTGTTTACAGGTTTTCTTTAACTACAGATGTAAAAAGACAGAAAAACTTATCTGAACCTACAGCAGTGGCCAAAATTGTGGAAACCTTTTGGGAAAAGTGTACAGTAGAAATGCTACCTTTGGTTAAGTTTCCACCAATTTTTCTTCTAATTTCTTTATAACTGTAGCCTTGTTTACTTAATAATACTATTTTACATCGCTTTCTGGGCAACCTGTCAACTCTTTTCACCATTACTTTAATTTGATTACATTTTACAAGCTCACTAAATGGGGGAAAAAACCCAACCAACTTAATAGCGATCACAAAACACATTGACAAATATCCTCCTCTCAGCTTCAATACATGACACCAATAACTGATTACAAAACTCAGGCTTTTTTATCCAGCATGAAGAGGAAACATTTGGGCTTTGTGGAGTAACTCAGCAAAGCAGATTCTTTCTTTCAAAGCCACTTGCTTTGAAAGGTCCGTCATAGCTTTGAATAGTTGTTAAGCTACCTGTATTTCAGTGCTATCATCAGCTTCACATTCTTTTTTAAGTTTACAGGGATGTATTGTTGTCATTTTAGGGTATTTTAGAACGGCTAGATGCTGGAGAAATTGTGATTGGTGATGGAGGATTTGTCATTGCTCTTGAAAAGAGAGGTTATGTAAAAGCTGGACCTTGGACTCCTGAAGCTACTGTAGAACACCCTGAAGCAGGTAAAGTATATTTACGTATTTATCAAATCAAATATTCTGAATTGGATTGTGACCCAGTTATAGAATAAATGTATTGCTCCAGTCCAGTTAAATTAGTTACAGGTAGTCCTCGACTTACAGCAATTCGTTTAGTGACTGTTCGAAGTTACCACAACACTGAAAAAACTGACTTATGACCATTTTTCATGACCGTTGCAGCATCTCCATGGTCACGTGATTTACATTTGGATGCTTGACAACTGACTCATAGTTATGATGGTTGCAGCGTGACCATCTTTTGCGACCTTCTGACAAGCAAAGTCAATGGGGAAGCAAGATTCCCTTAATAACCAGGTTACTAATTTAACAACTGCAGCGATTCTGACAAGAAAAGTTGTAAAATGGGACACAACTTACTTAATAAATTTCTCACTTAGCAACATAAATTCTGCTCTCAATTGTGGCCATAAATTGAGGACTACCTCTGTTACTAAGGTTTCTTATTTCATTTGCTAAAGAGTTAGCCATATCCAGCTTAACTTCTTTGAGTTATCAATCATAATTAATTAGGTAGACACTGTTGTTCTGTGTGTACTACTGAAAATAGTTCTATCAATATTTCCTGTTCTTATTTATAGCTAACTTTATGATTACGGTTAAACAAAAAAAATGGCCTGCGTAACATTCAGCCTATGAGCTTTATGAACCTACTCAACAGCCTTAGGCAGTGTGCTGGCGTTTTTAAAAAATAACCAACCCACTGTTGCCAAACATTGCTGTCACCAGGAAGGATCTGCAGTCATTGCATGGATTTTCAGTCATTTCTGCCCCAAAGATGCACTGTCTCACGGACACTGCCAGCTGCATTGCTGATGCCACCCTATTAGTCATCACACAGCTGATTGGCACACCAGCAAACTTTTGTACTCTTCAATCATTTTTAAGGTGTTAATCTGGCCCTTTCCTTCTATGAGTTAATGGAGGCTTTATGGAGGCTTTTAATTAGATATTATCTTTTAACCTTTGCATATAGAAGTTTTTCAGATTGATGTAAATCACATTACTATTTTTTTCAAGCAGGGAAAAGAAAGTTAGAAACATTGTTAGATCTGTGTTTGCCCAAATCAACATCTGTGAAGTGAGCCTAGTGTTCCTCCTAATTTAAATGTCTTGTTTATCTGTGTGGACCTACATGTGGAATAATTTAATAATAATTCATCACGTACCAATTACAATCTGTGATGTGCGGGATTTCTACGAGCTAAAGTACTGTAATAGTTTTTCTAAACAAGTCAATTATGATTTTTTAAATACAGTAACAGAATAATATTGAGTCATTAAAAACATTAAATCAAGATACTTTGGATACAAAACAGGACACAGAATCATAGAAGCAATATGTTTGTTAAAAGATGTTGGTGATACAGTGCTAACAGCATGTTTAACTCTTTACTTTGCTTAAATATTTTGTAGTTCGTCAGCTTCATCGAGAATTCCTCAGGGCTGGAGCAAATGTTTTACAAACATTCAGCTTTTATGCCAGTGATGATAAATTAGAGAACAGAGGAAATTATGCAGCTGATAAATTTTCTGTAAGTAGTTTCAATCACTTTTTATTAGTAATTTTGTCAAGTAAGCAGAGTTTAAAAATTGTGTATTTAATCTTGATACTTTTGTGTTGCTCTAGTTTAAGTAAAAGTATTCAAGTAGTCCTTGACTTAGGACCACAATTGGAACCAGAACTTTCATCTCGAAGTAATGCAGTTGTTAAATGAATCACACCCAATTTTAAAACCTTGTCATGGTCGTTCAGTGAATCACTGTGGTCATTAAGCAAACCACATAGTTATTAAATGAATCTGGCTTCCTCCATTGACTTTGCTTGCTTGTTGGAAGCCCCCTTTTGAAGGCAACAAATGGCAATCAAATGACCACAAAACACTGCAAGTGCTCATAAATGCATGCCAGTTGCCAAGCACCCAAATTTTGATCACATCACCATGGGGTTTTAAGTGCAGAGTGCAAAAATCAGCCATCAGAAACCTTTTTTAGCACTTAACTTTGCTTGTTAAACAAATGGTCATAAGTCGAGGACTACTTGTAGCTTTATTGTTAAATTAATATTTAACAACACTAACACTTAAACAATACTTAATAGCCTAGATTTTTTTTTTACATTTTCCCAGTTTCAGGACAAATGGTTGGTACAACACTTTCTTTATAATGAGATGAGTCTAGATAAAGTGCTTAATTCTTCTCACTTGTTTTTTAGGGTATAACTGTACCAAACATGTAAGACCTTCAAACGTACTTGCCTCAAAATCATTTAGATACCATATTATAAATGTATATATATCTGGTATGAGTTTTTTGACATGTACTTATTGTTTATCCACTTATTTTTATTTATATGGCCACCTATATCAAACAAATGATTCTGTGTAGCTAACAATAATTAAAAAGCAAAAACCCCAAAATAAATATTTGTTCGGCTGCTGAGACAAAAAATAATAGCTATCAAAACAGCTAACACTTCAAACCCCATGGATGGAACATTTCCACAACTTCCAGCCCTATAAAGTCTTTTTGCCTCACCATTAGTTGATGTGTCCTCTCCACAGAACTTCCATGGTTATTCCACTCTGAATGCCAGAAAGGATAGACACCTCTTGCAGAGCTTGTCTTTCTCTTCTTTGGAATAGCGGTACTCTGGACAATATCATTCTTGTGGAAAACCAAAACCATATCTTCTGTGAGGTTGCTATTCCAGTTGGTAACTGTTGTGCAGCCTGTAGCTGCTTTCCATCTTACTAATCTCAGGAGTAATACAGCCCACCACATAGGGGTCTCAACCTCCCTTGCTTTTCTTACCTCATTGAAAATTTCAAAATAGAGTAGCTGGATTGCTCACTGAGATTTGACGATGCAAACATTCTCCTGCCAATTTCTTTGCCATCTCCACTAGTTGCTGACCTCTTTCTGGATCTAATTCAGAGTAGTGTTTTTGACCTTTAATGCCTCAAAGAGCTTAAGGACAGGTTACCTGAAATAATTCCCTTCTCCTTTATATATTTACCTAGTTTTTAAAAATTGAATAAGCTCCTCCAGGTGCCCTCACCAAAAGAGGGTAAGTTGGGTCTCTTACAAGGGCTTTTTTGTGGTGACACTCCACTTATGGAACTCCCTCCCCAGAGAGGCTTGACTGGCAGCCACACTAACATTGTCCTGGCACCTTTCTGTTTTCCAAAGATTCTGAATTGACTGTTAATTATATTTGCATTCATATTGTTAAAGATTTTGATTGAGTGCCTTAAAAAACATAAAATTAAAATGGCCCAAAATTCTTAAGATCTCAAGAAGAAATATGGCTTTTCAGCCATGTTCTTTATTTTGTTTTTTAAAATACTGTCTCCCATCAAGCAGAGGTTTATTGATCGCTGGCATAGGAGAAACTGATGAAAGGAACGTTCATGGAAATTAGGATATATAATGAGATCCATGTATGTCTGAATCAGGGGAAGGGACCAAATGAGGAACTGGAACTGTTATGAAGGACTGCCATTGCCACCCCCTTGCTTCCCCTCATTACCGGCACAGACTGGACAGGGAGAGGCAAAGGGCCAAATGTGGCCTGCAGTCCATAAAATGCCCAGGTGTAGTCTAAACTCATGTCTGAACTCATGCTGATCTGCCACCCTGGGCTCAAACTCCTTACCCCAAAATGGGATATTACTAGTTACATTAAATTGGTCAGTCATCTTCTCTCTTAATAAGGCTTACACAATTTCTGTATCCTTTTGATCAGTTTCTTTTGATTAGGTGTAATTAATCAAATCGGGCAAAGGTGAAGTTTAAAGAGTAAGCTGTATTTTTCCAATACTGTATATACTGTATTTCTCTAGGCTACTGAAAATGGAAATGATCAAAATGTTGCTCCATTCTCATGGATAAATCAAAAGTTTGCCAGTTAATACTCGACAACCATTGTTTGCTTTGTGGAATTGCTGACTGATAAAATGCACAATACCTTAACTGTATAATTATGTGACTTTTATTTTTTTCTTACAATATTATGTACCGTATATTATTTAATAGCCTGTTTTGAAGAGATCTGAAGACTTAGCTCTTTACCCAGGCCTTTGATAAGGATAATTGAAGCCTTCTTTTAATCTAGGTTGTTTGTTTGTTTCCACGAGGTTTGTAATTCTGCCTTCTGCTCTTTTTTTATTTCTTGTTTTTAATGCCTTGTTTCCATGTTTTCAATCACTCATAAACCACTAACAAGTCACTGGAAATTGGGCAGCATGCACATTTAAATAATGATAATAAAAAATTAACACTTCAATCTTTTCATACCATTAGGGCCAGAGAATAAATGAAGCTGCTTGTGACATTGCAAAAGAAGTTGCTCAAGAAGGTGATGCTTTGGTGGCTGGAGGTGTTAGTCAAACACCTTCATACTTAAGCAGCAAAAGTGAAGCTGAAGTGAAAGCAATCTTTCGAAAACAGTTGCAAGTTTTTATCAAAAAAGAAGTGGATTTCTTGATTGCAGAGGTAAATGAATTCACGGACAAATAATAAATATTGTTTATCTAGGGACAAAGTGTTGCTTTATAATGGAAATATCAATGCTTTGGAGCATCAGAATCTATTATTATCTTTACTTTATTTTTACTCTTAATGACATAAGGACAGAAGAGGCAAATGGGATTGCAGTGAGGAAGAGACTTGGCAAAGCTCTATTGCACAAGAAAGCTTTAATTTGTGCAAAGTCTGTGTACGTTTCCTAGTTAAATTGTATTCTACCTCAATTGTACTTCAAATTCTACCATAAGACCTTTCTCCATAATATGACACATACATAGACAAATGAACCCACATATTTATATGGATATATTTATATTTATATCCTTCCTTTGGCATTATAACACAGGCCTCAAACTAAAGCATTGAGTCCAAGTGGTTAGAAAGCTCTCACATTGAATTAAAAATAATTACTGTGACTAATTCTAAGACTTAAAGTAAGTTACTATATGGTTAAAGATGCCTTTGGTAGTACAGGTAGCCCTTGACTTACAACCATTCATTAGGTGACCCTTTGAAATTACAACGGTACTGAAAAAAGTGACATGACCTTTTTTACTCTTAAACAACCATTGAAGCAATCTCCATGGTCACATGATCAAAATTTGGACATTTGGCAACTGGCTCATATTTATAACCCAGTTGCAGTGTCCTAGCATCCTGTGATCATCTTTTGCGCCTTTCTGACAAGGAAAGTCAATGGGGAAGCCATATTCACTTTACAACCATGTTACTAATGTTAACAGCTGCAGTAATTCATTTAAAACCTGTGGCAAGAAATATAAAATGGGACAAAACCTAACTATCTCGCTTAGTAATGGAAATGTTGGGCTCAATTATGATCGTAAGTCAAGGATTATTTGTAAGTAATTGGAGCTATTGTTTAGAAACAGCCTGGCTTATTTTTATTTTGACATATTGCATTTTTTCAATAAAAGCAAACGAATGTTCCTCAACTTGTTTTGTAAATTCTTTTTGTAAATTGTTGACAGTATTTTGAACATGTTGAAGAAGCCATATGGGCAGTTGAAACTTTAAAAGAATCTGGGTTGCCAGTTGCAGTTACTCTGTGCATTGGCCCAGAAGGAGACATGAATGGTATACCACCAGGAGAATGTGCTGTTCGACTAGTTAATGCTGGTAATATGTTATTTTCATTATTAATTTTAATTCAAGCTTCATTCCTGGCAATTTCATGGATGTGTCCATACAATTTTATTGGCAATAATATAGAAGCGATTTGCTGTTGCCTTCTGAGATACTTTTTCCACTTTTCAGGATAGCCTAGAGTTCTGATATTCCTATCCAAGATTTAATAAGAGTTAAAGAAAGATATTATGCTTCTATTCCTCATGTTTTGGTTTTTTTAGTGATTAAAAATTTCCTGCATCTCTTCAGCCTGAGAAGAAATCATTGTTCAGCTTAATATTGTGTTGAAATAATACTTCATGGATACTCACACATGATATCTCTAAAATTTATTTTGACCATTATTTCTTTTTCCTTGTATGTTAACATTTGATAAAGAAGTTATCCAGAAATAATTCATAGTAGTAATGTCAAAGTAATTTATTTACTTTGAAGCTCAAAATTGCTGAGTTCTACCATTTTCATCAAGACAAAAATATAACTTCTCATCATTTTTAAGGTGATTCGATTCATGCATCTTTAAAATGCAGTTAGTTTACAAAATATTAAAAGAAGTGAATGCTGGGCATTATGTTTTAAAATATTGACCTTGAAAAGTATTACAGAAAATGTTGTTTCTTGTTTCTTAGGGGCTTCTATTGTTGGAGTAAATTGCCATTTTGATCCAGCTACTTGTCTAAGAACTATAAAACTCATGAAGGAAGGTTTGGCAGCTGCTAAACTAAAAGCACATCTGATGTCACAGCCACTTGCTTTTCATACCCCTGATTGTGGGAAGCAAGGTTTCATTGATCTACCAGAGTTTCCTTTTGGTAAGATTTCACTGCTGTTTGTTTTCCTGAATCTCATATTTAAATATTTGATCAAAAAGATACCCACCCACCCCAAAAAAAAATCCAAAGAAGGAAACTAGGTAGATGAAGGAAGCAAATCTAGGAAGCAAAAATTACAGTTTGTCATATTTTTTTGAAAGATTTTGACTGTGAAGATTTATTCCTGTGATAGAGACCGATCCAGGCTAGTTCTGCTTGACAGTATTGGCACTATCAAGCAATTTCTGGTATAGTGCTTTAATTTTCAAGACCTTTGTCTATTCCAACAGACATAAGCAAGATGGTAGTCTACTGAAGGAGTACGGTTCAGTTTAAATCATTTTTTATCTTTGGATTTCTCATACTAATCCATAAAAATAGAGCAACAGCTATTTCTTGTGAATGCTCTCAAAAAGTTTACCAAATACATGATATATCTGTTTTTGGTCTTCCAACCCTTCCGTGATTCACCTTCCTGAAATATGTTTTTCTTTTAAAATAAAATTTCAAGTGCCATAATTTAAGTGATACTGAGGCTGAGCTCTTTGAAATTTCTCCAGATACCTTGTTGTTGTTAGTTGTGAAGTCGTGTCTGACCCATCGCGACCCCATGGACAACATTCCTCCAGGCCTTCCTGTCCTCTACCATCTTCTGGAGTCCATTTAAGCTCACACCTACTGCTTCAGTGACTCCATCCAGCCACCTCATTCTCTGTCGTCCCCTTCTTCTATCAATCTTTCCCAGCATTAGGCTCTTCTCCAGTGAGTCCTTCCTTCTCATTAGATGGCCAAAGTACTTGAGTTTCAACTTCAGGATCTGGCCTTCTAAAGAGCAGTCAGGGTTGATCTCCTCTAGGACTGACCGGTTTGATTGCCATGCAGTCTAGGGGACTCGCAGGAGTCTTCTCCAGCACCATAGTTCAAAGGCCTCAATTCTTTTGCACTCAGCCTTTCTTATGGTCCAACTTTCACAGCCATACATTGCAACTGGGAAAACCATGGCCTTGACTATATGTACTTTTGTTGGCAGGGTGATGTCTCTGCTTTTTAGTATGCTGTCTAAATTTGCCATAGCTTTCCTCCCCAGGAGCAAGTGTCTTTTAATTTCTTGGCTGCAGATCCCATCTGTGGTGATCTTGGAGCCCAGGAAGATAAAATCTGTCCCTACCTGCATTTTCCCCCCCCCATCTTTTTGCCAGGAATTGAGAGGGCCAGATGCCATGATCTTGGTTTTCTTAATGTTGAGTTTCAAGCCAACTTTTGCAGTCTTCAGATACCTGTTCTGCATTAAAATTGCAAAACTTTTTTCACAGCATGTTGTTATTTTGTTAAAAGATCCTGAGAACAAATTACACTGGAGTGGCATGTAATTGAAACCTGAGAGCCAATATGTCAAAATGAATGGAATTGAATCTATCAATTGGAAGCAGAGTTTGGAAAGGTTTACATTTGGTCCTATACTTCTGCTTGCTCAGGATGGTAGTAGGGGAAAATGAGGGACTTTACATTGTTCAAATTTGCCCAAGGACAGAAAGCAGTTGAATTAGCAATTAGCACAACTCTTCCAGTTACAGTATATTTTGCATATTTTCTTGGGGATGTTGGAACTGTATTTAATAATTATAGGGATCGATGAAAAGAGTAAAAAAATGCTGTTAAATGGGGGGGGGGGGGGAGCCTGCAGCATCAAACAGAG